CACCAGCTTCACAAGAGCCTGTGTGTGTGTGTGTGATTCTTTTTTTTTTTTTTTTTTTTTTTTTTTTGAGACGGAGTCTCACTCTGTGGCCAGGCTGGAGTGCAGTGGCGCCATCTCCACTCGCTTGTCTCCCGGCTTCAAGCGATTCTCCTGCCTCAGACTCCCAAGTAGCTGGGATTGCAGGTGCCTGCCACCACGCCTGACTAATTTTGGTATTTTTAGTAGAGATGAGGTTTTACCATGTTGACCAGGCTGCTCTCGAACTCCTGCCCTTAAGTGATCCTCCCTCCTCAGCCTCCCAAAGTGCTGGGATTCCAGGCGTGAGCCACCGTGCCTGGTCAGGAGCAATATTTTGCCAACGTTGGCAGATTCAAGGCCGGCAAAAGGCAAGGTGGCCGAGGGGGAGATTGGAGGGAGATGGGGTGAAGGCTTGAGGCCACCACAGGGAGACTGGGTTTTATTCCGGGCCTAATGGAAGCTCTGAACAGTTTCACACAGAGAGCAATCTTCATAAAGCCCTCTTCACTGCTGTGCAGAGGATGGATTTGGGGGCAGGAAGCCGAGGGGCACCAGTGTGACTCTGATGAGGACACAGAAGAACTTGCTGACGGACTGGCTGTGGGGAGGGAGGGAGAAAGCCTGACCTCCGGGTGGGGGGCCGGGGCCACTGAGTACCAGCTCTTGCCCTCAACCAGAACGGGGACAGGAAGTTTGAGCTAGAGGCAATCCAGAATGCGGGGTGGCTCAATGCCAGCTGCCTGGGACGCCTCTGGTAGGGCTGAGTAGCAGGCTATGTGGTATCCAGGTCTGGTGCTGTGGGGGAGGAAGGGGCTGCAGATAGCCGTGCTGGAGTTGTCAGAGCGGTTAGAGCAAATGGTTGCTCCCAAATGCTTGCTGCCCGGATTGGAAAGGATTATACTCCCTCCCACCCTGCACCGTTGGTCTGGCCATTGGACAGGCGGGGGGCACTCTGAGCACAGGCTTGAAGAGCCTTTCAATGGTTCTGCTGTCGCTCAGCCTGGGAGAGCAGCACAGACCACTGGGGGCTGCTCTGTGTGGCTGGCCCCCGAATGAGGAAGAAGCTTGGAGCTGAGCCACCACCGGCCCACAGCCAGCAGGGATCCCAGACAGGGAATAAACCTTTGTACTGTAAACCACAGAAGTACGGTTGGTTGTCACTCACTGGTGGGGAACCGTTCAGAGTGGAGCCAGCGTCCCACAGCCCTTGTCCGTGTCCACAGAGGCCCAGCTTCCCCGCTGCTCATCTAAACCTTGGCAGAACTCCCAGTCATCCTCCCAGAAC